GGTCACTGGTTCGAATACGACCACGGTTCAAATTTTCATTTCACCTTCATCACCCATTGGGAGTATTAGTCTGCCAAACCACGGCTATCTCAGATAGTCAAAAAGAAAATTATTCTTTGATGACATGGAAGTATAAATAACGCCAAAATGATATAATGGGAAGCTAAGCAGTATCATTAGCCCGTACACAATAGGTGTGTTTCAATGACTAATGTTCGAGCGTGCTAAGTGCATTTCGACTCCTTTCTCGACTCAAATTTAATTCACTATCGATGTTATGGTTAGTAGTGGATTTCAGGACGCACATCTCATCCTATTTGCACACTTACTCGTCAACTGAATGTAACTGCAGGTCAGTGAATCATATTGTTTGCATTGGGATACAGATACATCCATCTGACGAATGAGTCCCCAAATAGGATGAAATATGCATCCTAAATCTCACTGGTAGCCAACAAATAGACTAATGAATATCTGAGAAGTACCGGGCTATCCACAAAGGAGCCAGTCAGCCAACCGAAATAGAACAATTCGAACCGGTATCGATGTTGTTGTATAGTTGGCTTCACTTTCTCTTTTCAGTACCATGGTAGCGACGATTGCTATTTATGGTGTATGCACTCTCTGATTTAAATGATGTAGTAGTGAGCCACTAAAGGTGATTCTACTGTGGCATGATGATATTCCCGATCGTGTCTCGTAATAAATGGTAAGTTACTGAATGGTATCAATTAAAAAAGGCTAATATTTTCATCGGTCAGCAATGCAGAGCAATCTCATACCTAGTTCTAACACATATTATATCTAGGATAGAGTATACTGTTGTATGATTATTGGAAATTGAAAGGATACCGACTAGTGATATAGATCCTGTCAACCTATTTACATTTGCCGCACAAAACTCCTAATTCAAAGAGGCATATTCAAGTAATATCCTGCATGACTGTAGAGAGGAGAATGAAAATCGATCAATAATTTGAGTTTTTGATCATTTATTCAAATCTGGCCGGTTAGATTTATCACAACCTGTCTTGGAGATTATCTACAAAGTCAGAACAAACAGGTCGAAAGTGTACAATTTCACATCTTGGAGACGATGGGTGATTGGTAATTTATCAGTTTAGGCCAGATCTCAATGTGGAGAAGAAATATGATCATTCTCTCCCTTTACCATAGTCTTATCGACGAAACATCATCTTGGATACAGAAAACCTATCTAGCATTTGCCAACTTGCGTCAACTGTGGCACTAGTCGGCCAGATATCTAACTATCTACCAAAGGATGAGTATACTACGCTGCAGTCTGTTCTGTCCTGGTATACGGCTGTGAATCTTAGTCGACTGAGATGGTTTGGACATGTACTGGCATGCCCAGCCACCAACCACCTACCGCAACGAGATTTGAGGGTGGGCAAGACCAAGAATTGGTCTTTGACAGTTGTTCTGAATAGTGTGAGGTGATGTAGACTGTCCGATAAGGGTCCCCGAGAAGATAAGAACCAGTGGTTGAAGGCTCTCAGTGAAATGGCTGAAAATCGGTGACAATGGCACAGATGCATTTACCTCTTGACATCTAACCTTTATCTTCTCTCGTAGGTCTTTTTCTGTCCTCCTGTTCATTGTGTACTACTATGGAGTGGGGCAACTTGAGACGATACACCTATTCACGACGTTCTACACTGATTTTGTCAGTCAGTTATCGATGATATATTACTATGTAGTTTCTTTGTCGCTAGAACCATGTTTTATTATTTTACCCTTGGTCATTGAAGTAATCATGTGACTCTATTGACAAATAAATAGTTCGTTATTTACTTTCAATATTTAAAAATGCATACAACAGACAAAGAATTCGTTGAAAAGAAAATATTTTATTTCAATGATTTGCTTTTTTTCTTCTGTTTATCGAGTTTACATACCCTTCTATGTTATCTTCAGCTAACAACACTAGTGCTCAAAAAATACTACTGTGTTATGCAGTGAATTTGACCTAGAAAAAAAGGCACATGACGGTAAGAATAAAAATAGCTTTTTCGAAATGAGGCCAAACGTTATTCGCTTCGCTTGCAATTGGTGATATGAGAATTTGATTGGCTAGTCAAGGAAACAAAATGTATGTTGATTGGGTATAGTCATACTACAACGTGGGCGTGGTTGAGTTATATATGAAGGTTACAAGAAGATCATATAAATCACGCTGGCAAACTGATTGGACAATGTTAATTAGCCTAGCCAAAGCTCGTGATCGGTTAGGAAGAAATAATGTCTGAAATCTAGCTTTTCGTGTTAATTTAATGTGCATAAATGAAGAATATGAACTGATTGAAAGTGATAGCAATGAAGTAAATTCTTTGCTGAGACCAGACATATTATTTGATATTACAATGTTATGTCACAGCCTAATAATCACAAAGCCAATTTGATGAATATAGTTCCGTCACATCTCAGAACTTGACAGCTGCAGTTCATAAACAATTCGTGTAGAGCAATCTACATTGCTCATGCAAAGTCTTGTCAATTTCATCATTTCCCGACAACTGAATCAAAGTAAAGCACCTCTCTACAATTCCAAAGGCCTTGATGATAACATCATTTATGCATAGCACGGATAGCTGAAAGCAGAGAAACTAGGTATCTACAATACCCAGCAGATTATCACCAATTAATTAATACAAATAATAAAGTCTTCCAGGATGGTAGCTTTTGAAGTGAAGACAGGAGTAAAACAAGGCTGCCTACTATCACCGATGATCTACCTGATTCCAGTGGACTGGATCATGCAACAAACCGTGAAGAGCGAGAAGATGGGCATACGCCGTTTGACCGATAAAAAGATTCTAGAAGATTTGGATTTCGCCAACGGTGATGATTTATATCTAATATCTTATGTCGCACAAACTCGAAGATCCACAGGCAATAACTAACGAGTTGATAGATTTGAAGAGACAGGGCAGGGCAACGAAAATGGGACTTCCAGTGAATGTAGAGAAGACAGAGGTGATGAAGACACCCAACCAGCACCACCATCAACAACAACAAGCTCCAATCACCATCAACGGGAGGAACAGGAGCAGCCTCTTTCACCTACCTAGGCAGCACTGTTTCAACTACAGGCGGCATGGATGTCAAAGTCGGGATCAAAAAGACAGCAAGACAGGCATTCCTTCATTAATCTGAAATCACTGTGCAGATCTTCTGCACTCAGCATAAAGCGTGAACAATATCCGGATTTTCAACACTAATTCAGTCAAGTCAGTGCTGCTATATGGTTCAGAAACTTGGCGCGTCACGAAAAGCACTTCCAACAAACTACAGACATTCATCAACAACTGCCGTGTACACTGGCTCGATACTGGAGATCAGATGGCTAGAACAATAAGAATAAGCAACAAGGAACTCTGGCCTGGCAACGAACCAACGAAGCAAGAACCTATCACCCAACAAATATGCAGAAGAGGGAAGTGGAGATGAATTGGATTGGGCATACACTGAGAAGGTCGACTGTGGACATCACGCGACAAGTCAGGCCGTCGAGTGGAATCGAAATGGGAAACGATGAGTTGGGCGTTCCAGGTGAGAGTGAAGTGGAGGAGATGATGTGAGGAGGAAATGAGAGCTTGTGGATGTCGTGTAGCGATGTTCAAAAGATTTCAGAGAAGAGAGTGGAATCGGGACGTGCTACTGAAGCCCTATGTTCCATTAGGAACCCAAGGGACAAATAATAATATAATATAATAATAATATACGATAGTAGGCTTCCTAGGCTGAAGACAAGATTATAATATTGATCTAGAGAATTCAGTTATTACCTTGCGCGCTAGATGAAATGTCATTATTGGTCATACACACTAGTGACTAACCCGTAGGAAAAAAACTGGTACTTTATAGACACGTTAAAACGTATTAAATGATTAAGGAATGAAAAGTAGTCCTGTGCATAACTGGCAACTTTTTGTGCAACTCAACCCCATAAAAGCGAATGGCTTTATATAGTCACATTTATTGCGTTGTGAAAAGTAGTATTCAAAGGGGAATACTAAGCGAAAAAATATCCGAAGCAATGATCAAATTACATATTTATGAGAACAGGGTACACACACACACAGTGGCACTAGCTATAAATCCACACTAAAAGTGGTTATCCTTAAATATCACAAATTTCCCAAGGGTTTTTGTAGTCCTGACAGTGTAACAGCCGAGAACAGTTTCATAATTCTATCCCGTAAAGGGAGGAGGATAATAAGTACAAAAAGTAACCAAGATTTCTACTATGCAAAGCCATATATAAATGAGTATGGTTAGCTTGTTCACTAGAATTTTAATATCAGTCAACGATCTAGCTTAGTAATTAGTGGTAGGTAACAGTTCGGAATAATACAGGTTCAAATCGTTGAAGGGAGTTCATCACTTCTACTTAGGATGCTGTTAAGTGCTAAGAAGTGGCAAACCAAAGATGCGGCGCCAATAGAGTAAGACAGACAAACCACTTAAATTGCTAATTACACATAAGGACGATTGGTAACTGTGGTTACAGAACTATTGCTAGCGTGATGATTACTACATCGATACTGAAATATGTGACTATCATGACTGAACATTCATGAAGAGTTTCATATTAATGATGGATAATGGGTAGCAATGGAGTTCAGGTTGCGTGTTTCGTCCTATTTGGGATTCGTCAGCCAAATTTATCTGCCTCCTAGTGAGTGATGTTGTTCCCACTAAAATTCGAACCCGGACCTGATAGCTTCAGCGATGGAACAGAGCAGGTACACCTACCTGACGAGTCCCAAATAGGACGAAGTACACATCTTGGATCCCGATGCTAGCCACTATCCATCATTAATACGCAATTGGAACACAGACAATGTCGAGGCATCTGTACAGAGCACATATGCCAGTACAGACAGATGAATTCAGCCCAATTAACGATAGGATAATACAGGTAAAATCATACTTATGAAGAAAGTTAAGAAATGTTAACAAAACAGCATACTTACCACCAAGAAGACCAAAAGTAAGAATGAATTGTTCAATACTGGTTACAAATGCACTACTAAACAATGCAATCGTAGAGATTATTGCACCAATCATAGCTACTGGACGAAAGTCAAATTGATTACTCAATGCACTAACAATTGGACCTAGAGTAATAAGATCAACAAGAACAAAAAAGGAGTTGTAAGTGATTATTCCAACTTATAAAATTCAAAATAAATGTAAGAAAACAACTGATTTCTAACTTTCCTAAGTAGGGAAATCTTATGCCAAATTTTAATGCCGTTAGCTGATCATTAAATGAAGACATCTAATCATGTTGAATATGTATAGACTAAATTTATAACTCAATGACATTTTGTATTTTGATCACTGCTACCTTTGAAAGCAACTTGACAAAAACCATTTACAGACAGACGGACAGGTAGAGAGACAGACAGGCAAACGGATAGACAGAGATAAACTGAGGGACAGATAGACAGACAGACAGACAGACAGACAGGTAAAATAAACGTAAAAACCTGTAAACAACTATATCACCTCCAGTTGCCACACTTCACCGTGGTAGTATACAAAGAACAAGTGGATAGAAAAGGACTGATATGAAAGTAGACGAAGATGTGTATGGGAATAAACAATTTAACAATAACAGGTAGTGTAAATATACAAGTATTAGAAGACATCAAGGAGTCCACACATCTGCGCCACTGAGGCCGATTTTCAGCCATATTACGGAGGGTCCTAAACCACTGATTTCTATCGTCTCTGGAACCTCCAGTCAAGCAGTGTACATCTTCCCTACACGGCTCAGATCAACAGTCAGAGATTTTACAGACTGGTACTACGTCTTAGTCTCGCCACTTTGATTCCTCTAACAATCTAATGGAACTTCTCTCACGATGGCAAATCGAGGAAGGTGCTGGCTTAGTATGTGCAGTGTATATTCAAGGCATCTTAGTCAACCTCATCAATCGACTTGCCTACCTTGCCTGCTCACACAGTGATTCCACCAAACGCAAACAATGCTACGAAGACACCTGTAATTGAAGCGCTGTAACCACTGGATATCTTCTACCTTGAACAACCATGTCTCGCAGCCATACAACAGGACAGAACGAACTGCAGCGCAGTATTACTAATCCATTGATAGATAGTCGGATATTTAGCCAACTGGCAGCACAGATAGCGCAAGTCAGCAAATGTCAGAAGGGCCTTCTGTATCCCAGTTAAGATTTCGTCAGCAACTTGTCAGTGCGTTCAGGTTGATGTAAATTCTCAAGTAAATGAAGTGGTCGATGCATTCCACCACTTCACTTTGTATCATTAAACTGGGAGTAGTTGCAGACCAGTCCTGAAGCATCACGCATACTCCGATTTCTGCTCAACTAGCAAGAAAGTGTCGTAGTGGTATGCTTCAGAATAGGGAGCACCTTTGTCATTCAGTAAATAAGGCCACTACTGAGCAGGTTCGAACGTACACTAATGCAATGTTGTCTGATATTTGAATTGGCTAGGGAACTGGATAATGTACAGTGGTAGGTTGTAGAATGCAGAGAGTAGTTGTGATCAAATCAACGTTTACTGATCTTTTCCAAAACCATGAAGCAATCATTAAGATAACTGGCTCACTGAAGTTGTATCTACTGAGCCAAGAGATCCAGCTGTATATCGACACACCATTTCATTTTATTCCTGTCACCTTAGTTTTCTTCAATGTATTGGTGCATCATGATCAGTCTTCAGAACAGGCTGATTAGATTACGAACATGATACACGATAAATGCAGTGCGTATATGTGTGTACATGTGTGGTAATAGTGATGGAAAGTGAAATCACATTCCAAAGGTGAAAATTTAATGTAGGTGGTTACGTACTTAACATTGTGAATGTGATAGCCCACGTTTTGTGTAAAAATGTTACTTTCTTGAAAATTAATCACCTCCACATATTTGTATGTTTCCTCGCGATGACAGAACTCAAGTATTGATAGTACTCCAAGTAAAAAACCTGAATGGAGTTGAAATGGAAATTTGCACCGCAGCCACATTCGAACCAGCGATCACCAAGTTTCTAGCCTAGCGATCTATCAACTGAGCTACAAGACCCGATCGCTGACCAGATTTTTATTTCACTTCAATTACTAAGGGTTCTAACTGACAACTACCATGTGAATCCATGATAGGCTACTACCGCTTGATTGTACTCACACTGGCTGCCTAGTGAGGACTTCTCATCCCAATCCAAATGTAAATGAATTAGAGAGGGGAGGGGGAGAATCATATAGATGATTATCATTTTGGTTGTAAACTCGGTGGTTGCTAGTTCGAATCCGGCCGTGGTCCAAATTTTTATTTCACCTTCAATCATCACGCAGTATAAATACTAGTCTGATTTTGGTGGATGGATCATGCAACAAACAACTGTGAGGAGCGAGAAGATTGGCATACGCTGTTTGACCGATGAAAAGACCCTAGAAAATCTGGATTTTGGCAATGGTGATTTATGTTTAACGTCTTATACCGCACAAACTCAAAGATCTATGGGCAAAAACTAACAAGTTAGCAGAAGAGGCAGGATAGGGTAGCCAAGGAAGACGACACTTCCTTCAGGTGAACGTAGAGAGGATAGAGGTGATCAAGATACCCAACCACCACCACCACCAACAACAATGACAACAAGCACCAATCGCCATTATTGGGAGAAACCTAAAGGAAGTTGTCTCTTTCACCTACCTAGGAGGCAGCAACGTTTCAAATACAGGCGGCGCAGATGAGGACGTCAAAGCCAGGATCAGAAAGAGAGCAAGACAGGTCTCCCTGAATTAATCTGAAATCAGTGTGGAGATCTACTGCACTGCACTGCACTGCACCGTGCATAGAAAAGGTCCGGGTTTTGAACACTACTACTGTCAGTCAGGCTAATGCTTCTATGTGATGGTTGAGAGACTTGGGGCGTTACGAAAAGCACTTCCAACAAACTACAGACAGCTGCCGCCTACACTTACTCGATACTGAAGATCAGATGGATTGCCAAAAAAATAAGTAACAAGGAACTCACTCTGACAACGAACCAACGAAGCAAGAACCTATCACCCAACAAATATGCAGAAGGGGGAAGTGAAGATGAATTGGATTGGGCATACACTGAGAAGGTCGACTGGGGACATCACACGACAGGTTAGGCCATCGAGTGGAGTCAAAATGGGAAACGACGAGTTGGGCGTCCCAGCTGAGAGTGAAGTGGAGGAGATGGTGTGAGGAAGAAATGAAAGCTTGTGGGCAGTTGTGAAGCCGTGTTAAAAAGACTGCAGAGAAGAGAGTGAAATGGCGCTGTGCTAGTGAAGCCCTATTTTCAACTAGGAACCAAAGGGACAAATAATAATAATGATAATGTTTGTGTGTGCGTGTGAAAAGGGGACTAAACGTTCTGTTCTACAGGTTTATACCTCTAATCACTGAGATTATTTTCAGTCGTGAAGTAGCCTAGTTCGCTTACGGATTAAAGAAATAAAACAAAAGGAACTGACAAGTGCGAAAATGAACAAAAAGTGTTATACATGAGAAGAATTGAGGCACTGAATGAATTTCACAGCCCAGTACAACTTGAAGGATATTTGACTTAGTGTTTCCGACTTCCAGGGGAAGTAGGGAAACAGTAGTAGAACTATAGCTCACTGGGTTTAGGTATCCAATTAAAAAACAATAGGTCGTACACTTAAATGTTACAGTAAGTAGTTCAGGGAGTCGAATGGTACCACTATAAATATTTTTTTCATATAAATCCTGACTCATAGATCAATTAAAAAGTTGTTAATTAGAGACATCAGGTGACAACAGGAACAAACGCCAACCTCATTGATCCAGTTAGATTACAAACTTATTCTTACTCTAAAATTTCGGAAAGATTGGTTCTCCACATGGAATATATATTTTGTTGACTCTCTAATAAACTGTAATAACTGCTGTTGTATTGAAAGATGCAGTGTTATATTCATTTTGGTGACTAATAGTGGAATCCAGGACGCACATTTCACCCAACTCGGGACTTGCTCGTCAGCTGGATGTACATGCACTCCAGTGATAAGTGAGGTTATTCTCACCGAGACTCGAAACTAGTACCCATCGCTTCAAACACTGAAAGGTTATCCACTAGGCTGTTGGAGCAAGAGAACCCACCTCATGTGCAACGGATATCAGTTGATGTTTTGATGTTGCTATACAGGATCTCTGTTAGCAGTTGGGCTCCTATGGAAATCCCTCGATCCTGTCGGATTTTCATGATGTCAGCACATCAAGAGCACGGAGAAATGCACCATACAAAATATTATAATAACAATGTGAAGATATCAACAATAGGAAGTGGATAAGTAAGAAAGAGAAACAATAAGAATACCATGATTAGAAGAGAAGTCTAGTAAGGTATATTTGAAACAAAACACTCATTACTTTTCAGCAGTAGGAGATAGAAGGAAGATACAGAATGACCACCACCTGTTTCGATTTTGAGCCATATCTCATAACGTCTAAAGCCGCTGATTTGCGTGATCTCTCGAAAACCCACCCAGGGAGTTGTGATGCATAGACAGATGCTAACCCGGTGAGACTATCCTACATTCCACAGCTCCACGTCATACGCTGACCACCCCTCCTCCATTTCTTCCATCCAGTCCCACCGTCAAGGTTAGTAAACGACGAATGGTATGCAAGCCGTTAGGATGACATACGCAACACACATTCAAGCCCCCGAAGTTGGTATTTCCAGATGACTTCATTTATTGAATGACGACGATCTCCATAATGTCCAAACATACGCTATGGTACCTCAGAATTACTCACAGGGCTTTTTCACCGGATGCGAGTAATCCTACGGAGACAATGATGATCGAACACACAGAGTCATCGCACATCCTCGGCTCAAAGACACCATGTTTCACATATTCATCTTGGTAACTAGCAGTGGAATCCAGGATGCACGTTTCGTCCTACTAGAGGACTTGGCCATCAGTTAGATGTACATATACGTCGGTGATTAGTTGTTGCTTCCACTGGGACTCCAACCCAGTGCCCTTCGCTTCAACTGCTAAAGTGTTATCCACAAGGCCAGTGGAACACAATAGCTACCTACTGTATTAATGGATGTTAGTCAA